GAATAAAAAAGATAACAAAAATCAATATAATTTATGTTTTAATTGATTCTTTTCAATTCCTAAAACAATCCAATAAGTAATAATTGCTGCAATTATAATACAAAGAATTCCTAAAAATACTATTGTAGGAGTATTACCAAGTAATCCCCATTTTCCACGTTTTAAAAAAATGAAATAATTAATTTCAGAAAGATTATTATTTGGAATAAAAATTCTGACATAACAATTAAGTGACTGACATTCTTCTTTTTCACCATAAATAACGCAACTATTTTCGTCAGTAATAAAACGAAGTGTAGTTTCATTATATACTGTTTGACTAGAATTTAATTCAAATAATGAAATAAAAAATGGTATTTGGTTATTTCCTAATATTTGCAATGTTATTTCATACATAGAATTAGGAAGAAGTTCTTGAGTATTGATAATATACAGTGTAGTAGAGTTATATTTTTGAGTTGTTTTAACATGTGTATTAGGTGGTAATGAATATGTTTTTATGCCCCAAACAACACAAACAAAATATATAAAGATAAAGAAATAAGGGTATTTCATTTAATTGAAAATAAGTTCTTTTTTCAAAAAAGGATTGAAAATGGAAGTTTTTGAATAAATTATTAAAACTACTTTTTTTAATTAGTTTTTAGTTTCTTAGAGAAATCAATTTATTAAAAATAAAAATATGACTAATAATTCATTGCTTTTTAATATTTTCAAAGAAATAGTTTCTCGCATTTTTTCTTTTTGAAACTTGTTATAAAACATATTTTTTTCTGAAGAATTATTTTTATTATTTATGTTCTTTCAAAGTTAATTTCATTAAATATCATTTTATAGAAAAATATTATCTGCAAATATAATCTTATTAAGTAACGGTTTTGAAGAAGAAAAATTAGAAGAAATGAAAGTATTAAAAGTAACTAAAAATATGATCAGTTCTTCGTTGATTTGAATTTCAAAAAGAGAAAATGACTTATTTTTCTTCTTAACAAAAGAATTAAAAAGTAATAAAGAAAAAATATGGCACACAAAAATGGGTAAAAAAAAAAATAAATAGTAAAAAAATAAATAAAAGTATAGTTTTAACTGAAAGGGTTGAGAAAAAAAAAAAAAGAAGAAAACCCGAAAAAATAGGAGAAAGAAAGAGTAAAAATCAATACCAAATGAAAAAGAATTCTACCAAATTCTAAAGAAAGAAAAAGAAAAGAATAAAACCATGTTCTTATAAGAATAAAAGAAGAGGAATTTGCATTCAAAGGGCATTCTAATAATCTTAAAGAACAAAAACATCTTATAATTATAATACAAGGATGTCAAACTACACTGCTGGGACTAGTATTACAAGCCCTCAGGA